TTCCTTTTCTTCTTGAAACCGTAAGCCCTTGAAGGAGGAGCAATGATAGAACTCATCCTATTCCTTTCCTCTTCTGGTTGAAAGCTCCTAAGTAAGGGGTTAACTTTTCCTCTCATTTCCTTCGTCTCACACAAGACTCTCATGAGACTATTCTTTGTTGCATGCGTGGACCTTATTTTGGTGAAGCCTATCCTTCCTTTGAGCGTTGCTAGGTGGACGCTGGAGCAGTAGGAAGTGGAAGCTCCTTCTATTTTCTTTTACAAGTCGAACCCTTGGTGGTGAACAAGAAACCGTAAGTGATCTTCTATTCTTTTGGGTAGCTTTGTCTTCGGTTTTAGAGCATCAATGGAGGGCTGGTTATTTTTATGTTTAGTTCACCTTGTTGTACCTTGAACTTAACTCAAAAATCTCTAGATATAAACCCAAGAATGATCATACAAATTAATAAGTGGTACTGTTTACATGTTATATATATATATATACCTAGACTTTTTATGAAGCTAAGTATGTGGACAACACCTTATCCCCTCTTACATTGCATCAAGTAGGGTTAGTAAGTCTTAAAATAATTTATATTCTTGAGAAAAGGTTGTTGTATACTTTTGTTCTGCTCACTGTTTTGCAATGAAATGAATTAGACCACAAGTATATTTATTTTGTGAGAAGATGTTGTCGTACAAGGATCTTTTGCTCACTGTTTTATTATAAAGTTGTCACTGTTTTGCTGAAGAAATGCACACTGTTTTGCTTAAAATCCCTCACTGTTTCGCTGTAAAAATTCTGGACAGCATGTTTCTTTTATTTTTCTTGAAAACGTTGCTGAAGAATGGTTTTTATGCTCACTGTTTGCTGGAAAATTTGGTAGCACAGCTCACTGTTTTCAGCGCACTGTATGGAGTATAGGTGTGTGAAAAACACTCACTGCTTTATTAGAAAAATATCCACTATTTTATTAGAAAGAGGTCCACTGTTTTATTAGAAAACGTTCACTTTTTATTGGAAAAATGGTTACTATTTGCTCACTGTTTTACATAAAAAAAACGTTCACCGTTTTTACTGAAACACACTACTGTATTTTATGCAATTAAAGTTAGAAATCTTCTGTAAGAGAAACATGAAAACCGGTTCTGCCTTAGAGGAATTATTAAAAGAATTCCCTACTGTTTAAAATGAACAAAGGTTAATTGAGAGTTAAAAATAATTTTTAGAAAAAGAACCTTAGGGCCGAATGCTATAGGAAATTTTAAGCTTGGGAATTTGATGAATAAATTGAATGTACACTGATTGATTATACTGTAAATTAGGTACGAAAAATCCTTGAGAAGTTGGACTATATCACTGTTTGTTGGTAACTTAAATTTCGACGTACGAGGTATGTGTAGGCGGTATTACCTAATGTGACTATTGGCTAGTGTATGGAATTGTGATGTGTTGCTCACATTTGTTCTAAGTATGTTATGATGATGATGAGCCAATGGTAAGAATATGAAAGGATGATATGATATATGCATGCATTTTACATCATAATACATTTTTCTGTTGGGTGTGATTACATAACATGGCATGGATACTTGATCCATGACATCTTGAATATATATATATATATATATATATATATATATATATATATATTTGTATTGAGGACATGTGATTGAGCATGCATCATATAGGCATGCCTGGTACCAGAAGAGGGGACACTTGGCTTCAGTCCGCATAGGTTCCACAGTGGGATTCACCTTCATGGGAGCCATTAGGAATACCCACTGTGATGCTACGCGCACGACGGTGCTATGAGCGTAAAGGAAAAAGGGCGTTATATACGCGTTATGATATATAATGAAAAGGATTAAATGTTTGAAGTGACTATTTATGATTTTGTGCCTAGTTAATATTGTTGCATTATGATTTTGTTGCCACACTACTGGGATTTTCTCTCACCCCTTTGGGGCTGCTATTTTTACAAAATGGCAGGAGGACGTAAAAGCTTTTGAGGACTTGGATATTTGTTGTTGGCTTCTACTGTTTGGGCATGCTGCTATTGATGTGATATTTTATGGATGACTGTATGAAATTGAGAAGCTTGTATTACTGTGAACTATGATTTTATTATTTCTTTACGATTTTATGACCAGCAAGTATTTTGGAAACAGATGTTGAAACGTTTGCGAAAAGGATTTTGACATGTTATCTAAATGCTGAGTTTTGAAAAGTCTTTGCGAGCACTTTGTAAGTTGTCGTACTAGGGCTACGGACCTCCGATTTTCTTGTAATTTATATGCACGCGTAGCCCCGGATGTCTAGTTTCCAGATTACATAGAATATATTTTTGACTCGTTGAACTGAATTTTATACGAATTTTTAAAGACAGCAAGGTCTATCAGGAAATTTATATTTTTAACGAGTTTAAGAAATTTTGTGTACTATGATTTTTGTAATTAACCAGATCCCCTCTTTAGTCTGAATTGGCAATGTAAAAGCGATTTTTTTCAGTCTCTAAAATACTATTAAAGAACTCTAATTCCGCTTAGCAAACAACTCTCTTGGAGGCCTACAAGAGAGGGTGTTACACTAAGCAATCCTATCTTGCCTTCCATACATATCATGTTAAGTGGTACCTCTCATACAGTTCGTCAAAACACCGATATGAGGAAACTTCCTCGAGCTTTCCGCTGTCCTATGTACCTCAGATGTAATTGACTCCACAGATCAGAGGATCCATTAACCATGATATGACTTTTCAATCATTGATACACATTATAATTTCGAAATAGTTACCAAACGCAGTCCAACAACATAGACCATGCTTTCATAACTCAAGTGCACAAATACCACATTCAACATTCTAGTTGCAGTTAAATATCCCTTCACAGTGATAAATAAAAAAATACAGTCACTGACAAAGCCATACTTTTCACATCAAACTCAGTTCGGATGTTTTTCATAGCACATGCCACACATTCTATCCAGTTTTCAACATAAAAGACAATTCACAAAATCAGGTGTTCAAAACCGAAAAATTAACCCAACTGGATTCACAGAATAAAAGAGTTTTCATGTAGTAATTAGATTATAACATAACCTACACATTAAATTCATTTTTTTCCAACAGAAAAGAGAGTTCCTAAAATCAAATACTCAAAACAAAAGGATTACACACCAGGCTTCCAAAATAAAAGAGTTTTCATGAAGCAATTAGACTAAAACATAATTCACACATTCAGATTACATAACAAGATGAATTTCTGGAACACAGTACACAACTGAATTTAACTAGGCGTCGTTACTCTGGAAATTGCATATTAGACGTTTAAAATAAATCAAACGTTCCCTAAACTCAAATTCGTATATTCGACCAACAACCAGTTTCAATTATTTTTCTTCATTTGCTACTCCTGACAAACCAATACCAAAAACAGAATTTTTTCATATATCCAATTTATTAAATAGAAACCACGTACTCTTAATACAACTTAAACACAGATTCATTACTACATACAATCACATGGTACTGCCAAATTTAGGTTGCTTGTTCCTATTATTCAGGTCATTCCCTAGATTAATTTCCTACACAATTTCAAGCATAGATACCCAAACTACCATCCAAAGACTTTTCATTAATTAACTCTCGGTGCTTGACAATTTAATACTGCCGGGTTACCAAGGAACGTGTTGGCCAGACCCATTCCCAGTAACAGCTGGAATATCATTTCATCAAACACTGGGAGTCGTCAAATTCCATACTTCATTACTTATTCGTCATTCAAACATTAATCAATTGTAATCTACTACACATCATACTTCTCTCTTGAGGAGGTTTTCGTGTCTCATAAATACTAATTCTACTTTTGTCATGCCATGCAACGAGCAGATCCTACCCACTGCATGACATACACCACAGTAGTCTCAAGATTGAGACACAGTTCCCACTTTAGGACAGAATCTCAAATAATCAATGATACAATTAACCAATTCAAACATTTCAATTCAACTGCAACGTAGTACATTCAGACAACTCTTGCACAATTTAGTGACAACAACCATTCAAGTCAAATATTTCAAAGCAGCAAAGGGACATCACAACCGAACAGAGTATATAATAAAACAGTACATAATATTCAACAACCCTAACACCTTCACTAATATCAACAGCGAGACAGGTCAATCCAATTTAGCAGATCAAATTCACTTATTTACCCATACTACCCGTATCATTGTATAACTGACCTCTACACATCATGTCGACAGCTAAGTAAATCCATACAATACAGTCTACATTTCAGAAAACCAAACAGTATCTCACACAATTCTCAGGACTCAAAACTGCTCCAAGTAAATTACATTTCAAACTGCTGTGAATAGCACTTCCATAAGGTGAGTTCAACATGGCTCGGGATAACTCTAACCTTGTAATTACACTAACTTTCACAATTTAAAAGGACAACTCAGAACGTGCCAATCATGATTCAGATAGTGCCGTAATTTAATTTTGACATGCAGCAGTCAGCAAACAGTTCATCAACTAAAATAAAACAGCAAATAGTCCCACAAACAAACACAAATAACAAATAATCACACAATCATATTTAAACACCTTGAATCAAAACTGCTCTGATACCATTTAGTGTGACACCCTCCCTTGTACGCGTACAAGGGAGTTCTCTGCTAAGCGGATTAGAGTCGTAACGGAATAGAATTGAATAATTAAAATTCACTTTTAATTCACAATAAATTATCTTGCATTGAAATCTGGTTGTTCAAAAAAAATCAGAGTAGGACTTGTTAAAATTCATAGCTTGCGGAAATGACAGTTTTCCAGAAAACCTTGCTGCCTTGTAAAAATCGTATATATTCGAGTTCAACAGCTTAAAAAAATATTCTTTGATACAAGAAAACTAGACACCCAGGGCTTTACGTGCATATAAAAATCATTTCATTCGGGGGTGTTTAGCTCCCGAAACAGAACTCGCAAAGTAAGAGATAAATCAGTGAAAATTATTCCCAAAACTACCTGACTTGCAAAAATCATAAAAATCCGTGCTTACATGCTGTGGAAACAAAATTTATATAATATGAAACTAGGCATCTGGGGATTTAAGTGCATATAAATTATACTCCAATCGGAGGTCTGTAGCCCCAGAAACGGAACTCGCAAGGTGCTCGCGAAAACCGTTTAAAAGACAGAATTCAAAACGTGCATAAAATATTTTTGCGAAATATGACCAGAACCTTACAATTTACAAACTAACCATAAGAATCCAAATATAACAAATTGAGGCATGTTCTAACATTTTCTTCCAGCATCTCAAAGTATTACAGCATACTAGAGTGATCAGCTAACAATCAACAGAAAGAGCATGTCACATCAAACTTCCCAAAACAGCAGCAGCAAATAAACAGAACATGTCCAAATCAAATACTTCGTCAAACGATTTTACGTCTCCCTGCAATTTATAAAAATTGAGCCCCCGGAGGGGTGAGAAAAATCCCAGTAATGTGATAGTAAAACCAGTAAAGCAACAATATTAGACTAAGTGCAAAATTCCAAAACAGTCGCATCAACATATAATTTTCCGGACAGATGCTAACATATAATCATAGTGCGTATATAACGCCAAAGTACTAATCATGATGCGTATATAACGCCATAGTCATCAGAGTGCGTATATAACGCCATGGTAATGTACGCTCATAGCACTGCAGTGCACGCACTAACATACACAGTGGAGATTCCATATTGGCTCCATCAAAGGTGAATTCCAACTGTGACCTATGCGGACTGAAGCTAGGTGTCTCATACCCTGGTACCGGAGGGATGCCAATATGATGCGTGCTCAATCATATGCTTACTTATATTGTATACTGTTGGTTTCCAAACTAGATGCACAATGCGGTATGCCATGATATGCTTTGCACACACAAAAGAAACAGATGAATTATGATGTATAAATGCATGACTAGATCATCATTATAATAGCATATACTTCATCTACTTTTAATATCAAGCTGCCGAATAACAACTGCTTCCTAAAGCAGAATTTCCCATCATGACAAGTTCAAGGCAGAATACATATAACATATAACAGATACGAATCCAAGGCACGTGTGAGCAACAATTCACAATTTCATACACTAGCTAATAGTCACAATAGGCCTCACCACCAAAAACTTACCTTGACACTTTAGCTCTTTAATCAAGCATTCCAAATATCCTCAAACAGTCCAATATTTAGGACCTTACGCACCTAAACAAACATATACACCAAATCAGAATTTATTACATTCATTCCTCTACGTTACATAGTTTTTCCATTCTTCCTAAATCCTTGGTTCACCATCGGTTTCATGGTTCTTAATTTAAATTAATATACTGACTTAAGGTTGCATTACCATATGTTCTCAAGTGACAACACTCAAGCGTTCTATGCAGGCAGATTCGGTTTGCACAGCCATTACCAAGAACCTTAAAATTGAATTAATTACATAACATGTTGTACATGATTTAGAAGGGTGATAGTGAGATCTGACATGCTGCCTACAATAATTCTTAATGCATTTAAGGCTTGGTTCATCTAATAGATGCTTATAACTTTCACTTAACACAACTCTATCAATATCACTTAGTCATGAACTAACAGGTTATATAACATGATGACTACAAGAGTTATAGACACACACAAGGCACGATTCAAATCTGATTTCATGCTTCTCCTACCAATAATTATCAAATGGCATAACCATAATTTTCCATGCATCTGGTTCGTTTCTTTAGTCATTAGCAAAGGCTTCCAACTCTTGTATTTTGATCAATTATCATGCTTCTAATGCAATGGTTTTCTGCCTTGAATTTTATCCTTTCCATTTATAGCAATTACAAAATCCCAAAGTTCATACAGATTCGGTTTTTTTTTAAGGCTATCCCCTAATGCAATTTTATTTCTTTTTCTTCAACATAAATTACTTACATCACCTAGGCATGATCACTAGAACTTTTAACATTTACATAACCTTGTTCACAATATTTGCGGTGCGCTAAAGGGGCATACAACATGCTGTCTATATAGGTTTAAAACATGAAGAACTAAATTATAATTCTGGTCCAAAGACAGTCCTACAGCATGACAAGAAACTCTCTTCCAATCTTAAAACGGTTCTTTAAATTTGTATGCATAAAATCTATGGCTGTCCGAAAATGACAGAAGCAAGGAGAGGGATTGAGCAAAAGAAAATACCGAGTTTAATTGCAATTAATTATATAGAACGAACCGTAATTATTGGATTACTAATTATTGGATTACAAAGTATCACCAATTGGTAGAAAAAAAACCCGCAACTCCTGGACTCCCGAATTTGGAGTATCCTACTTTCACGCAATTCACAGCGTTCAACAAGCAATCGATATTTCACGATCAAATTTCATTGAGCACATGCAGCGGCTGAACAAGACAAAGAGAAAGGAATAAAAACAAAATAAAGACATATATCTCTCTCTTACATGCAGGTGGGGACCGAAACAGAGAGGGGAAAGAAACTTGGAACTCTAATCACCTTCTAAGCTGCATCCAAGGGTTAGCTATACAAGTGGAAGACAGCAAATCTCATTCTCCAATCAAAACCAGCCGCATGCAATGGTAAGTGCGACTCCATCAAGGCATAACCATGTTCCAACAAGGGGAAAAACTTACTCAGAATCGATCCAAGTAGGGGAAACTAGAAGGCAGCGAAAAAATTACCTTACCTTCTCCTACTTGAAGTGGGCTGTGCGCACAAGAAGAGGGAAAAGGATGTTGAGCTTCAACCTCCTTGCTAATGGTTACACGGCTGAGCTAGGAAGGAAGGATAAGTATGCTTGGTGTTTTGCTACCTCCTTAGAGCACTCACGGTTGGTGGGGAAGATAAGGTAGAAGAGGAGGTAACCATTGTTTGTGGTGTTCATCTAATAAAGCTTACGGTTGTGAGGTTGGAGAGGAGATGAGGGGAATGAAAGTGTGTTGCTTAATTCTGATTCAAAGGCCAATAACTCAGATTTGTTCTCTCTTCACCAAACGCACGAGAAGACAACAATGGGAAGGAGATAGAGTCAGCTAATAATCTGGACCCAAATCCAATAATTCAGATTGGTCACACTCCTTTAGGCGCACAAGGAATATGATAAGATGAGAGCTGGTTGTTTCTTTTGACAAATGGCACAAAGTGGATTTCCTTCCTCACTCATTGGTTGCATGGGTAAGGGTTATAAGGATTGATAGCTATTGCCATGTGGCTACTTTTGACCAATAAATAATAATCATGCAGATTTCTCTTGGGTAAGGAAAGAATAAGGCTAAAGGATCATAGGATCCAATAATTTTAGTCTCCTAATAGATCACCTATCATGTGCAATATTCCACTAATTGTTATTTCATGTATACTCAAGATATTAACTAAAGCTTTTGTACATTGTACTCAAATTAATCAAGACTTTTATTCTTCATAATAAAATTAATCACCTACTTTCAACTAGGATTTAAGTTCAGAAAATATACGTAGTTATTCCTAATAGCATGCAGAAAATAATTTCCCTAAACTACATTGAATTTGAATTCAAGACAACTTCCATGTTCCTAACTGAAATGTATATATTACTTCCTGAATTCGCGGGATGTTACAGGTATAATATTGGATTGATATATTAATTTTATTCTTATTTGGTATAATTCCAATCTTTAGGTAACTTTATTTAAAATATATTATATGTATTTCTAATCCCTAGAGAGTCAAGGGTTAGTTTTATATGAATTTTTTTAGTATGATTCCGATCTTTAGGGTGTCCCAAGTTAGTTTTATGTGAAGATTTTTATATGTACCTCTTAATCCTTAGAGCATCATATGTTAAATTATATATGTTAGGAATTTTATTGGGCTTAATTTTAAAATCATTTAATAATATAACAAATATAAATGATAGTATATATAATATTAATGAAATATTTATTTTATCATGATTTTTTTTTATGATTGAGGAAATGATCTTTATCGTAATATCATTATATCGGTAGTAATGTGTAGATGATTATTATATAATAAATGAATCCTATCATAATGATATATCTTGTAATTATTCAGTAATTAATATCATGATTTATATTATATTAAACATGTCATAACGAATTAATTTTACAATGATAGTGTATAATATGTCATCCTAATTAATTATTATTATTGTAGTTATATGTAATTAATCATTATAAGATTATAGAGTATTTTTAATTGAATTATATAATTAATAATAAATTAGTATTTAATAATTTGTTTCAAAGTATTAATAATTATAATCTAATTACATGATATAATTTATAAATAATTAGACCATAACAATAAATTATATATAATGTATGCAATCAAGATCCTTAGGATATTTTAGGTAGTTTCTTTTTTAATTTGCTATATGTGATATTGATATTGGGAACTTTATAGGTTAATTATATAGAATCAAGTGATATTAATTATAGGTTAATTATATATGAATATTATTGGAAAATTTATTGGGTTTTCACTACTAGAAAATAATAGGATTAATTATTTTGGGAATAATCTTAATGCTTTGATAATGTATTTTGCCTTTGATAAAATGATGGAAAATTAATTATGTTCGATATGAATTTTATTTAATAATTGTGGAAATTATTATTGATACCCTGAATTAATTGAATAATTGATATGATGATTGGATTATGTGTAATGGATAATTGATATGATGATCGAGAATTATGTGTAATGATGATTGGATTATGTGTAATGGATAATTGATATGATGATCGAGAATTATGTGTAATGATGATTGGATTTAGGTTTACTCTGATAGATGTTGGATAATTGAATTATGATATCCTGATGGATTTGGAAATTATGATATTCTTGGATAATTGAATTTGGAAATTATATTCTTGCCTCTTCGTAAAGTGATGTGGAAATTATAAAAACTACTTGAGGAAATTTTCCAATTATGAGAATTGTTACATGATTAAATTGATTGTGTGTGATTGAAATAAATTAATAGTGGGAGGATAGCTTTGGGATGGTACCTCCTAAAGTGATGAACACAACCTTTGGGCTTTATGCCTCCGATATATTTATTCGATGTGAACAAATATTATCTGTTCTTTCCAAAGTGGTGTCTGGCTGGGTTTCCCGGATACTAGTAGCAACTTTGGGAAGAGGTATGCACACTAGGAAGAGATATTTTGATTATGGCCAATTTGATTATTTGTGACTGGCAGGGTTTCCCGGGTCTACCATGGTTCTCTTCCCACTAAATACAATGAACTCAAACATGATTAATAATGAAATTTGTTATTTGATTTGATTATGATGAATGTCATTGAGTTGCGAATATTTTCATGTATGTAATATTATGATTAATGTTGTGCTGATTGTGGTAGCTGATGATTATCCTCACTAAATCCACTAAATTAATTTAATAAAGATAAGAATAGATTTAATTGTACATATATATGATGAATATTGAAATTGATGTTTGATTCAATTTTTATGTGATTACAGTTTTTATTTGATTATTATATTTGAATTATATAATTGTGTTTTGGTTAGGATTACCAACTTTACTGACTGTTTATGTTTGTTTGACTGCAATGATCCTTTCGGGGGGAGCAGACTTTCAGTGAAACAGGTTCCAAAGAATCGGGCTAGCAGTGGGTAGTGAGAATAACTACTCAGAGATTTTTGCCAATCCTAAATTTTATGTATAAGACATATCTCTGATTTTATTGTAATATTTATGAATATAATAAAGAGCCAGTGTCTCTGTACAGGTGTGGCGGTAACATTTCCCCAAATTAATTTTAGATTAGCTTCCGCAATAGATTTAAGATCTTAATAAATAGTTAAATGCTATTTTTTAAAAAAATTTCTCTATTATAGGAATATTTTATTGTTGTTAAAATTGTTAAAAATTTGGGGGTTTTACACTTATGCACATACTTGGAATGACACAACTATGCCTCTAAGATACCTTTTACAAATTTCAAAACTTCCTAGCCCACAAAACCCTACAAGGCTGAAGCCATGACCTAGGGAGAGCCAAGGATTTTCATCTCTTCAATTCACATAACCAATGGTTCCTAGAACTCTTACTTAGTCCTTAAGTTATCTAGGTATCCATTTACCAATTCAAACAAGACTCATGCCTATTTTTCTTCACATAGAGGGAATACATAGAGGGAACCAAGATATTTCTCATCATTTCTTAAGTCATTTTAATTCATAATCATACCAATGCAACACATTGGAATCTCAACACGTCATTAAAACAATTTTAACATAATTAAACCCTATAGGAACCCTAATGGCCGAAACCTAGAGGGAAGGGTCACATGGGATTTTTTCTTTATACTTTCAATTACCCACTTAATTCATAACTTACACGAACTTATAAACCTTAACAAAGTGTACAATTAAATTTTTCACACCAAACCCAACTTGGGCCTACTATGGCCGAAGCCTATAGGAAGGATTTCAATGGGATTTTTCCAAACTTACACTCATATATATGTTCACCTCAATACTACATCATATTCATCAATAATCCAACACAAATTCAAATTCCAAACTTATTAATTTCCCACCAAAACATGTTCATATATTTCAAGACTTATATCATGAAAATCAAACCATAGGAATAGAGATTTCTTACCTCCAATCACTTGTACAAGGTATAACACCTCGTATTTTTATATGTATAATTATATGTGATAATGTTGATTAAAATGGAAGGATTAGTGAAAATCTGGAAATTAGAGCCAAAATACATAGAAAGGGCAAATGCTAATTTACGAAACACGTATCCCTAGGCATGAAAAATTGAGTAGAATGTCTCAAATGGTAAAAATAAGGTCAGAAACGGATTCAGAACGAAAAATCGAGTGGATAGGCAAGTTTCAGAAATTTTGATGAATAGTGATTTTTCCGGTGTAAAATACTGCGGTAGAACTGTACCGATAAGTGTGAAATTTTGATCAGTATTTTTAGGAATCAAAAATATGACGTGAACGAGAAAAATATGTAGGTTATGAATTTGTGGTTTAAATTAGGTGATTAATTAAAGTTAAATCGCGTGTGGGACCCACTTATGGTTTAAGTGACTTAAAAGTCACAATTACATGACATTCTCTCTCCATTCTCTTCTCCTCTTCCGTGGGTTTCTCATCCTCCATAGCCAAAACCTTGCCAAATTCCTTTCTCTTGTAACTTCATCAATTCGATTCAAGTGATTCTGGAATTGAAATTGGTTGGAAACAACATTCCAAACCCATTAGTAGTATTAAGCCATGAAACCCACCACATTTTGAGAAAAACCCTCCCCAAACCCGCGGCCATGTGTTGAAAATAGGTGTTCTTGGAGTTGTTGCTTAAGCTATTGCTTGGGTATTGTGTGGAGGAGCCTTTTACCTTGATTATTGGTGAGTAGCTCTACTTGTAAGTATTTAATTTGGTGGATTTCAAATTGGTGACCTAAAGCATGTGTATATGGATTGATATAGTTAGAGAGCTCAAATTGAAAATGTGTATTAGATAAAAGTAGCTTAGAATGATGTGTTTGAGTGATTAAACTCATAAAAATTATTGGTGAAATCATTGGATAACGTAGGAAAATTTGTAATGGATGTTGTCATGGAAATCATAAATGTGTTGGGTGAAAATTAAGGGTTGGTTATTGGTATGAATTAAGTGTATGATTAAAGGTGTGGATGAGTGTTAAATTGAAATGAAAACTTGGTGTGTACTTCCGTGAAGATTTCGAACCATAGAGGAATTCTAGGGAAAATGAGGTGAACCATATTGTATAAGAAATGGTTGATGTTTTGAGGCATATAAAGACGGATTGGTGAAGTAGTTGGGTGGCAAAGAGAATTAAGATATTGGATTAAATGGTTGTTGGCCATTGGGTCTAAAGGGTTATGTTTAAATTACATTAATGTGAAATTGTGTGAATTCTTGAAATTGGGTGAATTGATGCATTTGATTTATGGTCAATTTTGTTGATCATATAGGTTGCCACTCACAGATTCAATAGAAGTGGATTAAGCTTGGAGCTTACGTTGAGGAGCATTGGCTTCGGAGTGAGTTAAACCTTTGGAACTTGGGTTTTATTCCCTCGTGTGTTCCACCACACCTAGTGGAAGGTTGTGATTGGATTTGATGCCTTTGATTATGTATAAATGTATGTTCATGCATTATTGAGATGATTGTGTGACATGCTTGGAGTATGTTGTGTGATATAATTGTGATCTCTGGCCAGTAGATGTGTGTTGGTTTGGACTTCCGCTGGAGATATCCTTTGGGGATTCCGGTCGGGTTGTTGCCGTGGGGCCGACTCTGGGAGCGGTACAAGGATGATCCAAACGTGGGACTTCCGCTGGATAGGGCTCATGAGGAGTTCCAGTTGGGTTTTGCCATGGGGTCGTCTCATCCATGGAAGAGGCACCAGGAAGATTCTGGGAGTTATATGATGGGGTCCTTGAAGGGAATCCTGATGTGGATGTCCTTGGATTTGTGCCCAGTTGTTGTGTGATATTTGTATGTTATGCATTTTATATGATGATCATTGTATGCACATTGAGTGAGCCATGGGGTGCAGTGATCCTCTAGTACCCTTGGTTTACTGAGATATATTTGTATATCTCACCCCGCGTTTGGGAACATCATTTCAGGTCATGTTGAGCATGGTGGATCTTCGGGCAAGAGGCCCGCTTAGTGGAAGAGTAGAGCGTGAGGAGCATTTGGAGGGCATGACATATTGAAGGATTCCATTTGATGTATATAGCATAATATTTATATTTTGGACTTAGGTTATGAACTTGTTGCATGTGGATATTGTCATGCTCTTGTATGTTTATGACTATATGTTAAGTCCTTTAAAATTGATGTATAGTTATGCCTCTCGTTATTTTTGTATTTTGAGTGAGCATGGGACTTGTCCATGGCCACATAATTGTATTTTGAGGCATTAGAAGACTTGGGATGTAAATAGGCCCTTTGTTGTGTAAAATGACTACGTTATTGAGAATTGTTGTAATGGATGCATTCAGAATGAATATGCATGATGGAAGGACCTAGAGCCTATATTAGTACTTGTGTAAGGTGTATATTAAGTATCAAGGTGTTAGGAGTAAGTTACATCACTCATTTTGTGTCTTTAAAGCTGTCATCTGTCATTTTTACTGCAGCGTAATCGATTACCTTTCATTGGTAATCGATTACCTGAAACAGAGGACGAAAATTTGAGCCACTGTGATCAAATGGGGTTTGTCCATGCCACTTTGTGGTTAGTACTTTTAGTTGGAGTTGTATAAACTGTTAGATGGTCTGGTCTACGTTTTGTAGTTCCGTGACTAGAGACTCATACTTATGTTATTTAATTAATGAGGTATTTCTGTTAGTTGTTTATTGCAATGTACATACAGGCGATGTTTTGAAAATGGTTAAGTAATCAAGTTGGTAATAATTAATGACATCATAATTGAAAAGAAAAAGATATTCCGCAATTTTAATTAAGCGCAGCTTAATACGATATCATTACCGGATATATACGGGGTGTTACAGTAGGTCGAGAGCTTCCTATGGTCAATTTGGGGAAGTCCTTGTCTTTGATGTGACTTACAAAACAAACAAGTTCAAGTTTCCTTTTGCCCCTTTTGTTGGGGTTAATCACCATAGGCAATCAATATTAATTGCTGCTGCTTTGTTAGAGGATGAAACAGAGGCAACCTTTACTTGGTTGTTTGAACAGTTTTGGATATGCATGTTTGATAAGTCTCCTATTGCGATTATTACAGATCAAGACAAAGCAATTGCTAAGATATTTCCAGAAGCACGACATCGTTTTTGTGCATGGCACATCAAAAAGCATGTTTTGGAGCATAGTCAAGCATTACGTGCACAATTCAAAGATAGTTTTGATGTTGACTTTCGTGCATGGTATAAAAGTCGAAGCATAGAAGAATTTGAAGACAAATGGGAAGCATTAAGAACTAAATATGATATTAAAGCAAGTAGTTGGTTGGCTAACATGTATGCTTCACATAACAATTGAGCAAAGGCATACTTGAAAGATACATTTTTTGCTAGAATGACTACAAGTGGCCAAAGTGAGAGCATCAATGCATTTTTTGATGGATATGTCAACTCCAACACAATGTTAAATGACTTTGTTACCCAATGTGATAAAGCAATCAAGTCTAGAAGAGATGCAGAAGAACATGAAGATTTTAAAACTAGAAATACGAAAGCAAATTTGGAGAGTAATCATCCAATTGAAGCAATAGCTGGAGAGCGCTACACAAGAAAACTGTTTGAAATTTTTAAAAAAGAGTGGAGGGCTACCACACAAGATTATTTTCATGAAAATATGTCAACAGACAAGCATAATATTAGGTACCGTGTGGGGTCTCCCAAAGTTAATAAAGAGTTGTGGGCAATTGTTGATTACAATTTGATAGAAAGTTCCACTACTCATTGTTTTTGTACAAAGTTTGAGACTATGGGGATTTTATGCAAACATATTTTGACTAGATGGACCATGAATGCAAGCTATAAGGCTGAAAATCTTTTGTATGTTCATTCTGAAACAACTACCCGTGAAGTAAGTGAGTTGCCTTTGTTGTCAACTCAGTCGAAGTGCAATTTGGCTATTTCTGAAGCATAAGATTGTTTTCATGAAATTAGAAGATTTGATACTATTGTTGATGAATTTATTCAACAACAATTAGAAAGGAAGAGAAAAAGAACTGAAGAAGAAACCATAAGCTCAATTGTACCTTCACAAAGTGGTTTCATTCCTTCTCAAGTTTCACTTAATTATGTTCGAGACCCCACTCAAGCAGTCAAAACTAAGGGGCGTTCAAAAGTTGCTTCACGAATAAAATCAAGCATTGAGTTGGCAGCCAAACAACAAAAAACTTGCAGTTATTGTCGAGAGAAGGGTCATAATAAGACCAGTTGTAAGAAGCAAATGGTATTTCTCATATATTGTTCCTATTTATGCTTATGTATTTCCTCTCTGAACTTGATAAAAAAATGTGATTTTTCATTTGTAGATGGATGCTGCAAGAGAGAAGCAAAAGAGATAATAGTTTCATTTGAAAGTTGTACCTGATGACATTGTAGATTTTTCAATGAAGATGAAGCTTTGACATGGCTGAATTGTTTTGACATAGATGAATTATTTTGTGCATAAGTTGAGTTGTAGATTTTTTTTTAATGTAAGCAATTGCATTGTAAAGAAATCTTGATATAGTTTATTTATGGAAAGTTTCAAATTACTTTGATGTATGTACAGTTCCCAGTAGTTCTGTGAAGCAAACTGTTTTGCGGAAAATCTGACAGCAAAACAACAAACTTTGCATTTCGCTAAAAATCTAACAGCTATACAACAAACTTTCAATGCACATATATTGAGCTATATAACTCTGACTACTATGAATTATATATCATTTTAAATATTTAGATGTTTTCTATAATATAACAAAAATTAAGAATTTTATAGGTTGAAATGTATTCCCAGTTCTATTTGGAAGTTCAATGGTTTAGGATGAGTTCTTTACTATTGTCAAAGAGTAATACAAAATATAAATTTGATAAAACAAACACGTGATAAATAACTCACATTGAATAATTTTGTACATGGATTTATATTACATTGACATCGATATCCTATAATGACTACTAAATTCCAAGTTACAACTCATACAAAATATCCTATAATGACTCTTCCTAGTCATAATATTCCTTGAATATGGATGATATGGATGAACTGTTTGCTGATTCGGATGAACTGTTCCTAGTTATAGTATTCTGAGATTTTTCCATCAAGCAAAATAACTTCTGATGATATGGATGAACTGTTTGCTGATTCATATATCAAATTCATTGTGGAATTGATATCCAAAGAAGTGTCTAAAGACAGTGTTAATTGGACAATTCCAGCAGGAGAATGGAAAAGGTCAGTGGAGGAAAGGCTGTAATCTTCAGTCACCTTTCCTTTGCCAACAACTTGAGAAATTGGGACCAAAGCAAAGCCCAAAAGCTGGTCTTCCATGGGATTTCTAGCCCGACTAAACATCTGAATCTCACATTTCAGAACACCATCCATTCAGGTAATCTTCATCCTCAAGTTTTCATTGAATGTTGGGTTTTTGCCACCTCCATTAATAATTCTGGTAGAGAGAGTCTCATCGGGGTTGTAAGTAAGAGAGAATTTAGCATATACATCCTGATCATTATATATGCATATGTTATGAATATTCCTAGCATGATGATCAAAGATATCAAGAATCCCCGAGAACTCAGCTGCATCATCTGCATTGTAGAGAAACAGAGTAACTATAGATATTTTGTTCACCAATGATCACGCATTGAGGCCATGTATCAAAAACACAGAACATAAAATTGTAAAGGAATAAACAGAACATCATCTAGGCTCCTGCTTTTGTTGTCCCAGTTTACCTTAGTGCATTTCCTCAATTTTGGCAAGGTTGTAAATTCCTATGTATCTTATTATCTTGAGCTGAAATGAATATAAACAAACAAATATACAACCATATGTAAGAACCTGCACCGTTAATTTAGGAAATTAATTAAATAAATATGAGATTAAAGAAATAATTCCATAATTGACCCTAATAATTATGAGAAGACTTAAATAATTATAGTAAGAGATTAATAATATTGAAAGTCGATTTTCTGATGAAAATTGCAGATACCGGCTCTGCTTCGCGGTATAAGTGCGTACCGGTGAAGTATCCCGAAAAATTATAATAAGTGTATGAATATTCCTAGAATAATACTTAAGTCAAGAATATCAATTTTGGAGTCGAAATGAAGAGAATTGATGTCAGAACTAATACCGAATGCGTTAAAACGTGTACCAAAAAAGTGTTGCGAAAAATTAAAATTAAAATATGAAAAATCTTAGAAAAATGGCTAGGTTCAGAATATGAAGTTTGAGGTTAAAATGATAAGCGTAGCTATTAATGCTAATACTGCGCGATTAAACTTAAGCACGATTATAAATACAAGGGCACACATTTCTAGGTCAGAATTTTCACACTTCCTACGTGGGTTTTCTGATCCTCTTGGCTGCCACCCTCTCCACCTTACTCTATAACCTTCTTCTTCATGAAGCTCAACCAACGAACCATCTTTCTTCATTGTTCCTTCACCAAAACATCATATAATGGGATGTGCTAGAATTGTGTGGTTGAAAGGCTAGTCATTTCCGAGTTGTAGCTTCAGTTTGGGAGGGTGTGGGTGCTGACTTCTTGGGTTTGTGTGGAGGGAGTCATTTTCTTAGCATTTGTTATTTCAAGAAGCCACCTTTGAAGGAAAAGGGCCAAGCTTGGTGATCATTTTCGTGGCCTCACTTGTGTAGCATATTTGGGTGGTATATAAGCCACTAAATCACTGCCATTTTCTGAGTTCTTGAGCCCATAGATATACCATGATCATTTCTTTTTAAATTTCATGAATTTAGCTTGTTTTGAGTCTTTTAAAAAGGAAAACTTTGATGATTCAAGTAAAATGTTGTTAATTTAAGTGTAATATGGTAGTTTGAACTTCTGTTTGTGGGTAAATCGAAGGTGGGAACCTTGGGAGGCCATTGGAGCTCGAATTATGCAGAAAAATCTGCATTCTCGCATTTCTGCACAGGTGATAATCGATTACCTTTGAGTGGTAATCGATTACCATGAAGGGTAATCGATTACCCCCTGTATGGTAATCGATTACCTAGTGCAAATGTGACAGCAACAACCTAGTTTAGTAAAATTGCGATATCTCGAGTTACAGAGCTCCAAATTGAGTGAGGTTTAGACCTTTATGAAGCTAACACATAGTGCTACAATCCGGTAAAATTTCATAGTCATTGTATAAGTGGATTGGTCGAAGTATTAGTTTGAAGTCGCGACTTGGTTGCTGTAAATTCAGTTTGTAGCAGTCACTTTACGAAAAGCATAACCGGAGTTATACAACTCCGATTGAGACATAAAGTATATCTTTGTTAACCTTAAGATGTCTAGTTTAACATTGTAAAATATTATAATATTTTGTAAAAAGATGAAATTGAATTCTTGAAAATGGTAAAGACAGTTTAGTGCTTGTGGCTTCGGAAAGAGCCCGCAGTAAGCGAAACGAAAAAGAAATAATGTTCGTATTAAATCTGAAAAACTATGATACGTTGATTGATAGTATGAATGTTATGAAAACAGATCTGTGACCTTGCTGGACACTGTTATTACTTGTGATCCTCTGGACACCGAGTCGTGAGGGAGGGTTTAGCTTGACAGGTAAGCTTTCGTGTCCTCGGATTGATCTGTTGCTTGTTCCACCGACCTCCATGGGAGGGTGGTTTATATGCATGTATGCTTTTATGAAAATGATATATGCATTGATATATGCCTGAGACATGTTGATATAGTTTTTGATGTAATGTTTGAATGTGATGTTTGTACTTGTACGATCAGGCAGCAACCCCGGTGTGCAAGGCATGAGACAGTATCCCTCATGTTGATAGGTAACAGACGTGTATAAACCCTATCTTGTTCCCTGGCCAGTTGAACCGCACTTACATACATCACATGATTAATGAGTTGTAGTATTTAGCTTGTTGAGCAAGAGATTATACTGTCATGATATAAATGCCTTAACATGAACATGCATTGAAATCACTGTTATTAAACTTGTATTATACTTGTAAGTAAGCTTGGGGCGGAAGAGTCCTTGAGGACCCCTTGTCTTACTAATATTTCTTTTTAGAGATCTCACCCCACGTTTGGGGTACATTTTCAGGTTCAGGTAGCTCGGGGGTGGATCCATGACTAGCTTATACCTCGTGGATCTCCCTTTCATGTTTCCATATTAGTTTTATTAGTTGTGCTTAGGGTCTTTGAATGAGCTTTTATTTTAAATTCTTTTATGTGCCTCAGATTTTTTAATAGGGAAGCATGTTAGTTAATGATCAACATCCACCTTAGCTGTACTTCTGATTTTATAGTTTATGCATTTAAGGGTGTTGTATCCTCGTTGAATCAAGATGTGTCTTTTTTGTGTGACCATATATAAATGTCATGTGTATCGATTTGTCATTGGATTGTTGATATGGGTACTTCAACTATAGCTCCATGAAAAATTACATAGAGCATTTTTACTTTACTCTGAGTTTGCTTCTGCATGATTGAGAAATTTTGTAATGTCATCTGTGAGGTTGCTTTTTACCTCCCCTGTATTCTGATATTTTTGTGTGCAGCTTCTTGGCAGAGTGTTTAACATTCTACGTGAGAATAATCCAGAACTTGCTGGAGACCGTCGGAGGACTGTTATGAGGCCTCCACAAGTTCTACGGGAGGGCACTAAGAAAACTGTCTTCGTGAATTTTAAGGATCTATGCAAAACGTATGTTGATATTTTAGTCTCCTGTTGGCTATGTGTAATGCCTCTTGGCAATTTTTTCCATTTTTCATCCTCTCCTTTGGTTAGTGTATTGCTACTCAATCTTTTAGGATGCATCGGCAGCCAGACCATGTCATGGCTTTCTTGCTTGCTGAACTGGGTACTAGTGGCTCTCTAGATGGACAGCAGAGATTGGTTGTGAAGGGAAGATTTGCACCCAAGAACTTTGAAGGAATTCTAGGACGATATGTCAGTAAGTATTTGTTCTTACATTTAGCGTCATCATATCATTCCTATTTTCTACTATAAGTTTTGTAATATTTTATACTTCTCTTGTAAAGAATCAATTCAACCCAAATGTTTAATCTATCAGGCGAGGTTACATTAATGGTTTTATACTTCTCTAACATGCCCCCTCACACGAGATCCCACTGGGCTTGAAAGGTGTACAATGCACAGGCCCACCTATCTGTGCTAAAAAATTCCAAAGACTTAATTAATTATTTATTAAATAGGGGCGGTGAGGATCGAACTGTGACACCAAAGCTCTGATACCATGTAAAGAACCAATTCAACTCAAAAGTTTAAGCTATTAGGTGAAGTTACATTAATGATTTTATATTTCTCTAACATAATAAATTAAAGTGATTCCAATTTGTTTGATGCCTCCGTTGGTGATGTATCTTGTGGTTATTGTATTGCTGTGTATGAACTACAAAGCCTTCACGGTAAAAGTTAATTATATCCTGTATTTTTTTTTTTCAGATGAGTATGTCATTTGCCTTGGATGCAAAAGTCCTGACAGAATCCTTTCTAAGGAGAACCGTTTGTTCTTTCTCCGATGTGAAAAGGTGAATTTTCTATGTGCCAATCACCCTCTTCTCTTTCTTTGTTTTCTAGGCTGTGAGCCTTCACTCTTTACCCTCTCCTCTCTCAAAAAAGATTAAGTTTTCTGCCTTTTTGGTAATTCGATCATTCAATTTGTGGTCAAGTATTTTGCAAACGTGGCCTTTGGTGATTTGAAGGTTTTTGGTAATTTGTTTGTTTAAATTATGGTCTGTTATTTTTGGTTCAGTTTCCTTCAATCCCTTGCTTTTTTTTTTTGGGTTCATGGACCTTGGACCCCAATTAGTTTGGGATAAATATGATGTTAATGTATTTTTTGTTCAGTTTCTCTTTATAATTTTTTTGTTTTTTTTTCCTGTTAAATTAAATCATCATCTATTGTGGTTTAGTGACATTAATTACACTATAGTACCAGAATTATATTGATATGAAAGATTGGAGATAAACTTCTACAAGATTGTTCTAAGACAAGGAAAAAATGCAAACTACAGTAATCATCACCAACAGCAGTGATATACAGTAGAAATAACAAAGAAAATTACAAGGAAAAGACCTCCCGAGGTCACCCTCAGAATCAACAAATCTAGATTTTAGGAGATCTCAAATTCCACGTTAGACCAATACTGAAATCATACCTACCTCACTCACATACTCCACCTCCTTTTATCATATTCTCTAAGGATATTCTAGAACTATTCTCTAACTAACTACCTAACCCACGCACCACTTTTCAGGTCCATCAGTCTTCCATCTAGTTTAAAAAAATTCTGCCACCTTCAATAATTTGAAAGATTATCAGACAAACACCTCCTTGTACTTAAGTTTTTAGATACACATACTCATTGCTCACGGCTTTTCATTACTAAGTGAAAAACACACACAAGAATTATATGTAATTTTCAAAACTAGAGAGAAAGTCCTTATAACTTCATCATATGATTCATATCTTAAGAGAGATCAAAGTAATTTGCCTTTCTTCTCGTTTCATGTCTTTAATTGTTTATATTATTTTAGAAATGACATAAAATGAGACTGAATCATTTATGTTTGACTGAACCATAAAATGACATCAAATCATTATGTTTTTGGAAATTATTTTTAACTGTTGGGATATCTTACAATTCTGGTTTGTTGCTTGTAGTGTGGATCAGGAAGATCAGTTGCTCAAATCAAAGCTGGTTTTGTTGCTCGTGTTGGCCGTAGGAACGCGGGGACATGATTTGATCCTTTAAATTTTTGTCTGAATAGATGTAAACTGGCTTGGGAAATGAACCATTTCCCAATTTATTTATTTTTGCCTATGTTTGTTCTATGATGAGTTTATTGCGGTACATTTTCGGCTTGTTTTCTGTTTTGTCAAAGGTTTGCAGAATCATTCTGCGGGGAGTTATATGATGCTGATCCAATAATTTTTACAACCATCCCCTGTCAAACACAGTTCATTTTTGTAACGTAAGAGAGTCAAGAGATTAGTGTTCCATTGTGTTGGATATCGTTGCATTTTTACTCGACTATGTAAGGTAGTTGTTGGATTTTATTTTTTTTGAAATCGTGCAGGTTCATTGTACTTTGGAGTATAATGAATTGAGTTATTCATAAACTATTTTAAGTTCAACTCATTACAAGTTCAATTAAACTTGTTTGTTCTAGCTCAGAACATGTGTGTGTGTTTTATTAAATAATTATAACTACTTTAAATTTATGTTCAAAGATAAAAGAATGCTATGTTTGGGACATAGGATTTCCCATGTACTTTATTTATTTTTATTAATATTTCATAGCTCTTAATTAAAAAGTAAAAAAAAAAAAAAAAACTTTTTCTTTGTCTGTAAAACCCTTCATCTAGACATTTCTTGCTCTCTTTTGCTATTTATTTACTAGCATAAAAAATATGTATAAAATATTGACTTAATAAAATAAAATAAAAAATTAACTGAAGATTTGATCCTTTAAAAAAGCATCAAACAATAAATTAAAGACAAAATAATTATTTAAGCTAATGATTTCATTTAACTTAACTATATGAATCATATCTTAAGATTAATTAATAATTTCAGTGTTATTATATAACAAAATAATAACATTAAACATGTGACTATTTGCAAATGAACACATTATTGCATCTTGTAACTAGAATTTCATAAGCAATAATTTGATTTGTATAGATACTAACTATAACACCCCTTGTGCATCCGGTTTGTTAACATACTAAACGGTATTTTAAACGCTCTTACTTGATTAAGATATAGCGGAAGACTTCAATTAAAGTATCACCATAGTTATTTGTAGCTAGGTGATTTGATTTTTTCCCCTTTTGTACCTTTATGTAAATTGCCTTGCGTAAATTATTATCCAAATTATTATAACTATACAGTCTCATACTTGCACAGAATTCCTTACTTAACACACATGTGACCAAACTGATGATCAAATGACTATCCAAAAATAATAACTGGTACTAGTTCGGATAGAGTGATCATGTGAACAACATAACAACTGTAATTGGACTAATCAGGGATTAAAATCCTCATCTTTAATGTATTTCTTGAAAAAAAGAAAGTCCAACAACCAGATATCCCTATTCATAAATTTGGAATCCATGGATTCCTACATAATTTGGCTTTGTGCCCATTCTTACCAACTTAAAACCTTAAATGTACATGCTTTCACATACACAGTCCAAACATATATCTACAATTCCTCATGTACATATCTATCTTTCAAAGCATATACAATGCATACATCATATACATATGTACATTATGCAAATGCAAAATCATACGTCATGCTACAAAACCATATACAGTAATCCAATGTCGTGATACAAAATATAAAACATACACAAAACATGTCTATGTACAAAGTATATAACTCCTATCAGCTCGGGATATCTACCCGTATATCACTCTCTTTCCTTCAGAGGGCTCTTCAGCTTCTGCATGGGTACCTGAAATATATCTCCAAATGGAGTGAGATTGACAATCTCAATAAACTCAAAGTTTATGGAGCAGTCTCCACTCATGAGTTCATTTCTTGCATGAAAGGTTAGATACATAGCATAGCATACACCATATAACCATAATCACATATGTAATCCAATCCAATCAAAATCAGCATCATCCAAGGGTTGTCCAAATAGATAAATTCCCCAAGGAATATGCATACAAAACCAATCCAATTTGATTCCTCCAAGGGTTATCCTATTGGATAAATTCCCTAAGGAGAATACACATAAAAACCAATCCAAAGGTTGTCTCACGGGATAAATTTCCAAAGGACGGTTCACTTCTATGGGTTGTCCCACTGGATATTCATACAATCAACATTCCATATTAATATTCAATTAAACACATCATTAACCCATTAAACCCCCTTGGCCGAATGGTATAAGAAGGGAAATCATACATTTTCATGGTTCATTTAACTTCCAATGAATAACACTGTAACACCCCGTGTATACCCAGTAATGTTATCATATTATCATATTAAGCTGCGCTTAATTAAAAAAAATGCGGAATATCTTTTTCTTTTCCAATTATGACGTCATTATACTTAGCCAAGTTGATTACTTAATCAATTTTATAAAATATCGCATGTATGTAAATTGCAATAAGACATCTACTGAAATACCTCAATATAAAAATATAAAGTGAGTATCTAAGTCACGACATTACATCACGTAATTCGGACAATATTCTGATACATTAATACAACTCTAATTGAAACAAGACATAACAAGTCTACGTGGCATGGACAATCCCCATGCTCACAAATCAACAGCATAAACGGCCAAGTCTCAACATAAATAATCCAAAGTCATAAAGAAGCTAAAGGCACAAAAACAGCAAGCATATCCAGCATCCAACATGTCAGCATATAATATCATCAGTATCTAACTCAGCTCTGGCATCCTGCCGCCTGGGGCCTCAACCCCCACATTACCTGATCCTGAAATAAGCATTTCCCAAACGTGGGGTGAGATCTCTAAACTAGAAATCTCAGTAAGACAAGGACCACCTCAAGGATCTTCAACCCCAAGCTCGCTTACATGTGCAATATAAGTTCTAAAAGCATTTATATCAATATAAGTTCCAAAACTATGCAGTGCAACAGATATTCATGCCATGTGTGTTTAAACTATTCTACTGGCCAGAGAAATGTAGGAATGCGTCTATCACCTACATATAGTACAAGGAACACCGCTTGCACCTCACCCACAGCCTCACCATATTGTATGTACTACATACTCAGGCTTACTGTATAGGTGGAACACCACAGGCATATCATAAAGGCACTAGCATATAACAGCTCAATAGCATTTCCAAAACATCAAAAGCATGTAACACAATATGCATATAACCATACCCCCATGGGACATGGTGGAACCACAACACGGCTAAACCGAGGACACGAAAGCTTACCTTGCAAGCTCACTATCCAATGCAAGAGTCCTCACAGCTCAAGTCCAACACACAGCATATCACAATCTGATTTAGGACCAGCATGTATATCAACATACAAAGCTCAAAAGCATTAACATAAAGACTATGTTCTCCTTTTATGATTTACGTCTTAAGGCTTCCAACAAAGCCACAAGCCCTTAATCAAATGACTCTGACTTAGTTCATTAATTACAGAAGTTCAACTTCATCAATCTAGGGTCCACAAACCCCCAATAGCCTACTGTACACACAACACAGCTACTGTTCTACGAAATCCCAGAATATCCAGATATTCCTCGGGGGCATATCCTGATATCCAATATTCGGATATCTCACTGTACATATCCGGATATCAAGATCCGGATATCCAGATCCCCATATCCGGATATCAATATCCGGATATTTCACGATCAGATATCCAGATATTTCACGACAGAATGCAGTTTCTGCATTTCGTGAAGATATCCTTCAAAGGTTCCATTTTTACCGATTGCAGAAGCCTAAACATACATTTCTAGGTGTGTTTGACATTACCCAACGTTAGGTTATCATCTTTTAACCATTACATGCATCAAGGTTCCATTTTTAAGCATAAAAACTCAAGTTCCAAGGTGGTGATCATACCACAAGCTAAAAACAGAGGTAGATGATGCTCTTGGAGCTCTCTTGTAACACCCCGTATATATCCGGTAGTGTTATCATTACATCGTATTCAGCTACGCTTAATTAAAAATGCAAAATATTCTTTTTCTTTTTAATTATGACGTCATTATCAATTACCAACTTGATTACTTAATCAATTTCACAAAATATCGCCTGAATGTAAATTGCAATAAGACATCTACTGAAATACCTCAAAATATAAATAAAGTGAGTATCTAAGACACGGCATTACATCACGTAATTCGGACAATATTCTAATACGTTATTACAACTCCAAATAAAACTAAGACATAACTAGTCTAAGTGTCATGGATAATCCCCATGCTCACCAAATCAACAACGTCTCAACAAGATAATCATAAACATAAAATGAAGCTCAAGCATAAAAGCAGCATGCATATCCAGCATCCAACAAGTCATCATATAATATCATCAATAACTAACTCAGCTGCGGTCTCCTGCCGCCTGAGGTCTCAACGTTACCTGACCCAGAAATAAGCATTCCTCAAACGTGGGGTAAGATCTCTAAACAAGAAAGCTCAGTAAGACAAGGGGTCCTCTAGCATCTTCCACCCCAAGCTCACTTACATGTGCAATATATGTTCTAAAAGTATTTATTTCAATATCAGTTCCAAAACTATGCAGTGCAATAGATATTCATGCCATGTGTGTTTATCACTATCTACTGGCCAGAGAAATGCAGGAATACGTCTATACCTACATGTAGTACAAGGAACACCGCTTGCACCTCACCCACAGCCTCACCATCTTGTATGTACCACATACTCAGGCTTACCGTATAGGTGGAACACCACATGCATATCATAAAGGCACTAGCATATAACAGCTCAACAGCATTTCCAAAGCATCAAAAGCATGTAACACAGCATGCATATAACCATACCCCCATGGGACATGGTGGACCCACAACGTGGCTAAACCGAGGACACGAAAGCTTACCTTGCAAGCTCACTATCCAATGCCAAGAGTCCTCACAGCTCAAGTCCAACACACAGCAGATAACAATCTGATTTAGGACCAGCAAGTGTATCAATATACATAACTCAAAAGCCTTAACATAAAGACTACGTTCTCCTTTAACGATTTACGTCTTAAGGTT